TAACACCTGACTACTCGTGTGGCCGATAGCAAGGACAGCGTAGCACAAAAGCACAAGCTGTGACCGGTCCAAATATTTGGGACACTTTCTATCATTTCCCATAGTCACAGTGTCACACTGGATCTTCATCTGACCTAGCGCAGCGGCGGTAAACACTAAGCGCCAACACTGCTAGTCGACAGATGTGCAAAATCGTTGCTCAACCTTCTCAGCCAGCGAAATTTCGTGAATAATCCGGTGCGGTATCATGGAATTTTGTCACGTCCCGGCTGGCGGTAATCGGCCATATTCATTCCGTGGTGTCATCGCACGCGAGCGTTGGTGCAAAGATGTCCATGCTGTTGAGGTTCTCAGGGCCACAGAGTTGTCTCAGTATGACCAATGTGAGCATTTCGGTGGTCATATAAACCATACTGATGTCCTGAGAAGGTTTGCGCGAAGTTCCTTAACCCATCCAAGAAATGTGGAAGGCTGTTGAGTACTGACAGTCTTAAGGGACCGGTCGATTAGGTTAACAGTGCGTCACCACCAACTGTCGACAAATTATGGGTTGCTTCCCAAGTCCAGCAGTTCTTGTCGAACTTCATGGACACTGGGCGGGGTGAGGTCAAACTCTAACGTTATTCAATGTTTATTTGGGAGTCCGTCACAACGATATAGGCAGAGTGAACCACTAGGAAATGTGTTACATTTCCACTGTTACTAGTTTTTACTAATACACCTCCGGACCGATTGGTTGCAAGCTTAGGTTATTGGTGTAGTGTTAGCTGGATCTGAGTTTAGAAGTTATCAAGTAGGGGGTAGGTACTCCAAACCCAACAAAAAGATTTCTTAACCATTATGTTATGAGTTACTCGCAGACCTTAATTTTCTATTAACCCGCACGTCAGCTACTAAGTCTGGTATTCTAGCCCCAGCCCCAACTATACCTGAACAGCCATAACGAAGAAGAAACCGTTTAAGGAGGGCGGTGCTCGGAGCTGGCAGCAGTGAAACTTCCATTTTAAACAAGGTACTAGCGAAAGGAATGAACAAAGGTTGTTTCGTAGTACTTCGTGGTCCAAACTGAGGATGCATTTTGCAATCTAAACCTGCGATGAATACTTCGAAGCCCACTGTTGGACTATATTCACATTATTCCACTCAAGTTAACGGGTCCCGGTGTCTGTCAAAATTGTGAAAGCCCGAAGATACAATGACCACATTGGTGAACTGCTACTTTTAGGAACACAGTAATCATAGAGACGACGTTGAGAGCTTGGAAGCTCCGTTCGTGTTGGTTGATCTCGTCTATCATACCTTTCCAAACTTGAATCTCATGACACCGTACACGAGTCTTAAAAGCTCCACTTCGAGTTCACCACAGAAAGTATGTCAGCACAGCCCTGTACCAGAATCCCCATTCAACCTGTTGATTGGAAAAATGACGAGTAATTGCCCTCGCTAGTAGCTCTGTACTTGGGGTACCGCTTTGTGACACATGTTTGGGTATACGGAAGATATGTTCCACGCTTTGTAGAACCCAACTACTCTGTATGTGCTTTTGCATACATAACTCGATGTGTAACCGCATACATCATCCGTGTGACTGAACCGACGCAGCGACATTTCTCCCTTTTACCGAACAATCATTCGAAATGGCAGATGTGCAGCACCAAGATGGCCAACTTGCGGATCGGTTGGATTTAGATGGCCTCCCAACCAAGTGTGAAGGTGGCACAGAGCTAGCCTGTCAATCAAGACAAAATGTATGATGCTTCGGTACGATCAGGGTTATTGCATGGATTCAAGAGTTGATCTTTGCACAATAAGACCCGACGTGACTGACCTTAAACAACTGTCGATACTCGCGTCGGTTTTGTTATATTTACGGAGAATACTACAGATGTTCAGTGGTAACCGCTGAGCCGTCCCCTTGGTAGATGGGTGAAGTTGAACCACTTACACTGACCATGTCACTTTTTCACATCGTCACCGACCGACAGTGTAAGTTATTTAGGTTTATACACTTAATGACTTGATGTGTCATGTTGGCGATTAGGTGCCATGATGGGAAACCGTGAGAGAATACACCCATAAACTTGGTCAGGTTGGTGTATACCTGTTTGTTCAATGGAGACTTCGAGATATGCCACACAGATGTCGGCATATGCCGTCTGTTGTTGGACAAACGCGGAATCGAACAGACTCTTGCTCATAGCCTCTTAGTTCTTGTTGTTACATTATATATATATATATATATAATTACTTTCTTTCTTTCCAGGCTTTTGCCACAGGACCTAGTTTTCTAGTAACCCTTGCGTTTGTCACAAGTCGTTAGTTTTCTCTAATTCAGTATGGCTGCGTTACTCGCTACTACCAAATCTTCTGCGCTTTCTTACACGAGTCATGTTTAGCCAACGTAACAGAACTTAGTCCGTCCACTGCACCTGCAGTTGGCAACTGTAGTATACTCCGTCTTATTACATGGTAATCCGACCTTAGTTGTCAGTAATCGATTACAATTTCACTTTGATTACTGCATTTTGTTCGCAACCCCAGGCTGATATAGCGGTAGGAGCCATTCTCGTTTCTAAGCAAACCAATGTGGCTAATCTTGTTCTGAGCGATATTTAGCAGTCAGATTTGTGTTTTGTTTGGCGCTACGGCAGCCGATATTCTTGATGGGGAGCGAGACCACTCATTGATATTTACATGCTGGACGGTTCTTCACTCTAATAATCACACCATCGAGATATGTAGACTGTTTGTTATGGGTAGTCCAACTAACTTTTCACAAGGTCAGTTGCTAAGCTTCTTCACTGCAGTTGGGCTACATCGACTTACAGTTAAACTAATTCTTCTTAAAATGGATAAAAGTAGTCGCCATTGTTCGATTTGTTCAGTTCTGTTAGTGTGCGGCATGTTCCGTGACAATTTTGCTTGTTTATTTTCCTGCAAATGCTATGTTGTTTATTAGATATCCCCGGTATAGCTACGCTTGATGTGAATGTTGACATGGTGCCTACTTGTCTGAAATTCCTCCACCTCAAATCCGGGTTCCAGGAGACAGTCGTTACTATGGGGACTGGATGCACCGTCTTCGTAACCGTACTAAGTTCAGGGCGTGGTTCCACCAAGTGTGGAACGGACTATGGTCTAGCCACCGCCTTAGCTACATCTGGAACGTATGATTCTCCAGTTAGGCAGACGAGAATGCTGCTGCTGTTGATCTTGAAGGAGTGTGGGCAGGCTCCGTTAATGAGACTTGGTTCCCATCTACATGCATCCAGCTCTCGTTCCTTCTGCTTTACGCTGGATATTGGGTGCGCGGATGGAGCTGTGGGTGATCCAGTGCAAACCATCCATGGTACCTTGGTAGCCGCAGACATCTTGTGGCTGTCCCTATGGAAGCCGCAGGGACAAGCTACTGGATGCTGCCAACCATGAGATCGAAAGCATCGTCCAAGAACGAGTTGCCCTATCAAAGCAACCAAGGAGCTGACCTGCAGCTTCTTAAAACTGCGTGCGCTGAAAACTTTCGGTGGGGCACTGCGGCATATCAGTCATCTCACCTGACCCCATAATACTACTCACAGATATGCGTGCCTATCTAAATGAACCGATTGTTCGTTCCAATTTACTTTGGTTAAGTAGCTGTATGATCCGAATTGAGGTCAGTGGATCCAATTTTCACCAATGACCGGTTAGTCGCCTATTGAAAATTGTTCGAATTGGGCTAGGCGCGCAACTATACTTATAGCAACAAAGTGGCTTCAAGTGAAGTTACTAGATTTCACCATTATTAGTGATGGTGATACCGGTTACATACCCCATTTTACGACGAAATATTGGTATAAAAATTTGAGAACCACAGAAACTACTTTCCTTAGGAAATTTTGTCATACTGAACCAAGCCGATGCATGAAGTAATTGCACTGACCTTAGCAATTTCGCTATTTTGGATATTCCTTTATACTGATGTTCGTTAAAGTGGTATTTTATTATACATGCTACACGCCTACACATGATAATTGACGAACTAAACTCAGCATATAGATATGTGATTGAGTTGGACACAATAGCTAAAATGAAGCGTCCATTTTTCCATATACGTTCTTCTACCAATCACTCTAACGTGGTACAGCGTACTTTTGCAACTGTGTGACACAGCCTACCCATTGCCTCCTCTTGAACTTACACCTTACCATGTTGCGGGGTTTATCCTTTGTGGGTAATTCCACTTCGATATTTACGCCATTGCACTCTCAAACTGTTAACAGCACTAAATCGCCACAACCGAATCCTCACGTTCGCCCACAATTCTTAGCATAATGGATGTTGCGCTGTATCACGCGAATGCTACCAAAACCAATACATGTATCAAACACAAGGACCCTAGTGAGGAACATGAATGTCATACGGTGATCGCATACCGAATGGAAGAAAGATCAGGTGTCTTGATGAGTCACTTCTCTTGAGATTACATTGATGATGTTATCTAGCATGACTGTAGTAAACTAGTTAACGCGAAGAACCAGCGGACACATTCACCAACACGCTGGCCAATAAGCGTCCACAATTATTGCCATTTTTCAGATCAAACAAATCGTGTTCACTGCAACGGCGTTCGCAGACTACCATCTTGTTCCTCGCAAACTCTTGCGGATATTGGATTGCAAATCAACATGGCCGTTTGTTCCATAGGGGTTCACTGTGTCAAATGGCTTGCGTAGTACAACTGCACTTGATAACGCACTAGGAAGCAACAGCACCAAATTTGATACACCAAGGACTAGGCAGTGCATTCCGGTACCCGACAAATCTGGCATTTCGCATCATACCCTGAACTGCAACCACATACAACATGAATTCATTCAAGTCAACAATTAACCTTTTCTCTTGGAGGTGAATAGAATACTTACGTTCACTTTACCAGTACTCTCGGTGAGTAGCGCGCTCTTGATTTCATAATGCAGTTCTGCATCATGTCGCCCCACAACCAAGTGAAACAACAAAACCTGGGTTTCCATGCTTAATCTTTATGTCTGATAAAGTGCTTTGGAACATTTCTGACTCGAAGCTTGCTTTTGTTGCTGGGATCCGGATTCTTTCGTTGCTTCTTCTGGCCTTCGTAATGAGAAGATTATTACTCCAGTAATAATAATGCTGAATGCTATGAAAAATAGGTAGTGAAATTTGGTGCCAAACAACCAGATTCCGGCTCCAAGACCGTATACATCCGAAGTCAATAGGGATAGATTGAGAAACGCAGCAGTGGTCCGTTTAATTGTGAACGCGGTCAAGGTGTCCTGCCCAAACATGGCTGCTAGGTAGCCGAGATAGTAGTATACAGCTTCATATGGTATTTTCCGGCCGGATAGATATCCAGTGAACAAGAGTGCAGTCAGGTGATTGTGTTCCAGACCAGCGCAATAAACGGCGCTCAAAACTGCTGAGAAGAGTGTGGCTCTTGACAAATAGGTGCTGGCACCGTAATTGGAAGTGGCATACTCCTGTATTACGCTTGACATTCCGTATAAAATGCCTCCTGTAATCGCCAACAAATCACCAATAATGACATTCCGTTTTGCATCGTCTCCTGTGAACTGCGGTTGAAAAGGGTTTACCGGAGCCACAAGGACGTCAGCCGTAATCATCATGGCTGTGCCGACCAGACTGACACTTATCCCCACATAATGCGTCCATTTGTACCGATGTTTCAGAATGAAGAAACTGAGAACAACTGTGGTAGGGATGCCAACACAGTCCAAAACTTGAGCGCTGACCATGTTCGTGTACTTGTAGGCAGTCAGCGTAGCCCATGTAGAATGAACATCGATGACTCCAGCAGTCGCGCATAAGAGCCATGATTTTGCTGTGGCAAGCTTCTCGACGGTCGTCCTGTTTACAATATCACCTGTGGGATTCAGTGGGCTAGGGAGACGCTTCTGTCTGCAGTAGACATAGACACGATAGGACCCGAACATCAGCGCCATAAGGGAGTAGTGCGGTAGGACTTGCGCCGTTGGAAGATTCACTCCATTCTGAGTTAACAGGGTCACACAAACGCCCATGCCGGCAATAAAAATAGAGAGTAGTTGACCAAACAATATGATCAGTGTTACTCTCTTAATTTTGGCGCACCGAGGTTCCTCCAATATCTGTTCGGCCTGTTCAGCGTCTCGTCCTGTCTTTTCAGTCTCATCCTTCATTTGCCCATCGTCGACGATCTTGTGGCTGTCGGGTTAAATGATCGGACGATGTCCCGCGCCGGTTGCAGAAGTTGTCTGCCGATAGGTTGTTTGTTGTAACCCAATAAGACCATTGGTCTATTGCACTCACCTATCGCGTTCAGGAAACCCTGTCGTACTAGTGAGTGTACAGCAAGTTCTCTGCGCGCACGACCTTTATTATTGTGAGTTTGCATAAGTCACACACACGTTATATGGGCCACCTGCTCACAGTCACACCAAGCTGACGATTGTTGTTGACCTCAATTGTAACGATCGTGTTGAGTGAAGTGCTCACATACATACGCCAATAACGTGAACAACACATAGTCTGTGGGTTTTTCCGCAAAGCAAAGATGAATGTATGATTCATGCGTCGTGCGAGTACTGCGTGCTTTTATGGTGTGATTTGTTACTAATTTCAGAATAAAGCTGCACAGCGAGTTATTGCCCAGTCACCTAATCTCTCTCTGGTCATTCCCGTGTCGGACTCTGGAGGCCGAAAGCCCATCCCTTCTTTCAATGTTTGAAGTAACCTGAATAAGTGGAAACAGGTTCCTCAGATGTTTGCTCTACTCCTTCCCTCCAAGGCCTTGGCTATTACTATTTTCCCAATAAGACTACCTTCAAAATGTAGTGTCAAGCACCCACTTGTGCGTTGGATCAATTCTGTCAGCTTTGTTAAGCTTAAATTCACATATTTAACTCCTTCGGAAGTGTGCGACTGGTGGGCTCAAAATCGGTGGATGGATCTTGGGATCCAACCCTACTACGAATTAATACATACTTTTGGTTTTGTCATAAGTCCTGTGCTCCTTAGGGAGAGTCTAGGATACCTCAACCACCAGGTAGGCTTGCTGATTTTTGTACCGTCAGATTCATTTGCCTAGGGTCTGTCCTCCATGACAAGCACACAGCATGCCACCTGTGTAATCAATGTCCATCTCTAATGAGTAAGTGCTGATCAGTAAACACCACGAACCGACTTCGTCTAGTAAGTAAGTCGTTTACTTGGGTGAAACCCGTTGGGTGGGTATGAATTCCAGTAGCAGACAGGCTAGCATGTGCAAGTGAACCCGCTGAGATGAACATTCTGTGATCCTACGTGAGTAGGAGCTGAGATGATGCGGTGGCGCGTGTGCCTCTGCAACCCGTTGTCTCACACTAGTCAGCGTCTTGTCGACCCCATTTGCGACATCTACAATATCTTTGTTAATATAGTGACCGCAAGCAAATGTGGTAACGGTTTCCCCAAGTTCAGAGATCGGAACGCAAGCCAGTTGCAGTACTTAAACCATCTCCTAGCCACACGTATAAGTCAACCGTCTGGTATGAGTTCATACTCGTGCCACTGCGTTGGGTTGGGTTCCATGACTGCCTCAGTTTTCATGCATGCATCACTGACGCCTTGTGTATTACCATCATTCAATGCACCTTAATACTCACTGCATGTGACGGACAGCCCCTTCATTCTCTTGTTGCATTTTCTGATAGCTGCACCCTGAGCCTCATTGATATTTACGGTTTGATGCACCACAATGACCGTTGCGACGAAGAATTTCTGGAAGCACTCTTGTAGCCATGTATACTTTCGCGTAAACACTCCTTGTCAAGACCCTATGGCTTCTTCAGAGTGCCTCTTGAATTATGTCGTTGTTCCTCCTACACCGCTAACACCTTCTGACAAGTGGCGCTTTCGCGAAGCTATTAAACAAGTTTCCGCTACATTTCTTGAGCTGTCCGTTTAGTGGTCGACTACTCCATCTTTGTTATTCTGATTATCTAGCGGTTGGATAAAATTGTCTGGGCACATGTGCGAGGATTTGCTAATACCTCGTTTTATTGAGCTGCTAGGTTAATGTCTACATGAACACGTGAACAGCCAGTCCAAATTACAAATATTTCCGTTTGTATCTCTTATTATCTTTGTGCAGCTCATGTGACAACTATAACAGTAGAAGTGACAACATACGGAACATTTTTCATCTGCTTTGGCAGGGACCACGGGTGGAAATTCCCTTAGAGATGCACTGTATTACAAGCCGATCTATTTGCTCAGTACCCAGCATGAATTTCGAGTTCCATCCGCCCTAGCAGAATTTAGCAACGGCTGCCTTTCACTCTACTGAAGTGTGTATGCTAAACCATAGGCTTGCATTAATTAATGAGACCCACATCTTTTGGGCATCAGTGTTTTGTCAGATAGTGCTAAGTAGGTTGGAGCACCTATGAGAACGCACCTCACGTTGTAGTCCCTTACCGGCTCCTGTTCACTCCTATTCGTATGTGTAACTAGTAATCGAGTCCGAAAGAGTCGGAAGGAGGGATAGTTGACCCGGTCGCTAGAGTTACCTGACCTGACAGCTTCGGTCCCAAACGCTGAAAATATATTGTTGAAATGCAGAAAGCAACAACTGCACTGAAGACGGAAAAGCCACGAAAGTTAAAGTGGGAGGAAATATGCACTGACGACATGAAAGAAAGACGGAGTAACACTAGCCTCACGGAAGGCGCCGGGGGCGGGTAGCAGGCGACAAACTGTAACGGACCTGAGTCAAGGAGAACGGAGAGGGCATTAGTCGAAAGCTCAATAAATCAGACAGATAGACCTTTATCGGTCCCCCAGGATTAATATCAAGCAGCATAATGCAACCGCGAGATAGCAAATCCTGGTTGTCAAAACATGAGTTACGAAAGCCAAGACACTGGGTAAGACAGGCAGAAAGGATTTACTTAGCTGGACGAGCAGGCGCTCGGATATTACACCCAATGAGTTACGATGTGTGAGGTGTTGTGGGACGCCCGCATGTGATGTATGTTAGCCGTATCGTGTGCAATATAAACGGCACTTGCTTGCTTCTTTCTTCCTTCCTATTGTGTTGCTAGAGTGGAACGTATTGCGATTTTCGGTTGAGATGCAGTTTCTTTTGCCTGTGTCGATACTAGTCACAGCGCTGACAAACTTCACAATTGATGCACACCATAACCGCAATTACATACTAATGACAGCCATCTACCACTGATTGGTCTAGCCATGGTGACTGATGGTGTTTATATTCGTTCCTTAGAGGGAACAGCTGCTTGCACCGTTAATAAATACGGTATTTGATCGAAAAATCGGACGCCGGCACAGCACGGCTTCACGAAGGGCCGTTCGTGCATCATCAACCTGCTGTTGACACGGTAAAAATGGTTGCAAGCGTTGAACCGGGGGGTGGGGAGAAACCAGTGGATGTTATCTACACTGATTTCAGTAAAGCTTCCGATAAGTGAACTATGAGGTCCTGGTTCACAAGTTACGGATGTGCTGTGTTGGTGGCACACTGCACTGGTAGATCTGTGACTTCCTTATTGGGAGATGATGTCGGGTACAGGTGGATGCTCACGCAACGGACTGGCACCCCTCTACTAGCAGTGTACCTCAAAGTACAGTGTTGAGGCTAATTTTATCCCTGATCCACATAAAGGAAGCTCCTCAGCTTATTCGGTCGTCTTGTGCACTGTTTGTAGATGACTTGAAGATTTGCTGGTTATTGATTCTCCCGACGACTGTGACGTCCTTCAGCAGGACCTCGACCACTTATCCCGGTGGTCTGCAGTAGTTGACTTATAGATCAACCCAGTCAAGTCCTCGTTTATGAGCCTGAGGAGGGTGGTAATGATTGTATGTACACCCTGCCCGCTTCACGCTAGTTCCGTAAAGGATCTACACGTGCTCTCACGCTGTGATCTGAAGTCTGTCAACAACACGAACAGACTACACAAACGGACTAAGCCTGCTTCAGGCACTTAGACGCAGCTTCTGCACTTGGTCTGAAGAGATTACCACCCGTCTGTTCCCTTCCATTATAAGACTGGTGCTTGAGTACGGCTCACTTGCCTGTTGTCCGACCACAATAGGTGAGGTGCAGAGACTGGAACGGGTCCAGCATCTAGCTACTCGGTTCATCCCCAGTTTACAGTGTATGTCGTATGAGGACCGATGAAAGAGACCTGGGCTTTATACCCTGGATATCGTCGCCTTCGAGTCGACCACATAATGACGGACCGGATATTACACCTGGGTCACTTCCTTATGTTGGAGCTGTTGCTGTACGTTTGCGCACCAAGCAGAACACGTGGACACCGGTACAAACTAATGGTACCGGATTTAAAGCGCATTGCTCACTATGCTTCAAGCGTCGAGTGCTGAAATATTGGGACAAATTACCGGAGATGCTAGTCGAGACGAAATCGGTGTCAGACTTTAAGAGGTTCCTCAATGCCAACTTTGCGGACTACAGATATAGGGAGCGTATCGCATCCGGATAAGATGTAGTGCAGTTGCGATATGCTGCCGCCGCTCACGAATCAGCAACATGATTCCGCGCTTGTGCCCGATACAACTAGGTTGGAGCGACGAACGAGTTATCTTTCTCTCCATTCTCAATATTCAGTATTTATTTAATCGAAAGAAAGCAAACATACTATCCGAGAGAACTGGAAACATTAATTTCGCAAACTTATGAGAGGGCTGCGGGATTCGCCAATGTCAAATGGAGGTGGAATAATAGCACAGGACGATAACCATTTTGATGCATGGAAATGGACAGTGCTTCTCGTATAACTTGAGCATGCTGGATTCATAGCTGACCTTAGTTTTTCTGTGTAAGCTGCAGTATTTGTGAAAACCAGCCAAGTTTTTCACTTTCTGAACATTTTAGCTACTTTTCGATTCATGACGTTGCGCAAAAGCAAAGGGATGCAAAGAAATTAACCGTGTCACTGATATAATCTGAGCGTGCTGCATTCACATTTGACTTTAGTTTATCTCTGTAAAATACAGGTTTTAGGGAAAGTGACTTTTACGAATTTCCCAACAGACGAATGTGTCCACAATGTTGATCTATGATACCATATATTTTACATATATAAATTGATGCTAACATATATCCTGAACGCAACCTTTTGCTTGGACATGACATATGCACAAAACTAGATGTATAACATGCATTAATCGGGCCAAAATTTGCGTTTATAGCTTCTGCGTCGA